GTATATCTGTTGATATTTACCAGCGAACCCTGGCTTAAAGACATGAGGTAAGTATAATTTTGTACTCTATGTTTAAATATCAGTTTTTAATATTAAAATTTCATTACGTAATGTTAAAAAAGTTCCCATATTCTTTAGGAGACAGTTCGTAGAATAGATTTTGTCCGTTAATATACCTATTTTTATGACTAATGGGCTCAGCCTTGATCTGAATCCAGCCTGGAGGCATGGATGAGAACTACTGTGGGACGAACTTGCTCAGAACGGCCTTTTCACTATCGCCTTGAATAGATTTAGGTTGTATCTTCTCAGGAATCTATCTATATATATATAAAAATGAAAGATCACTCACTCATTCACTCAATCGTCACGAAATCTCAGAAACTACAAGTACTAGAAATTTTGTACGCGGTTTCTATTTAAGGACGTAGGTGCTCACTAAGACAGGATTTTACGAAATTCGACCCCTAAGGAGGTAAATTAGGGAATGGAAGTTTTAATGGAATTTTCTCATTTCTGGACTTAAAACTAGATCACATAGGCGAAGTCGCTAGCGGAAGGCTTGTATGTTTATATTATAATGGTTTTACTGAAAAAACCTAGAGACTACAAAATAAAATAAAAAAATACTTTGACATTAATTTTCCTCTATGTTTTATTGTTTTATACCTAAATAACAGATACATTCATACGAAATCTTGGCAGTCTGCAGTTATTATTGCCTGAAATCATAACAATTGTAAACGAAATCGTAACAAGGTTACAAATTACAAGTGTTCGCAGACTTTATGTATTTAGTGTTGACTGCAAAATATTCGTATTACAAAATGCTACAGTAATCTCCCATTGTTGTAGGCGTAACAAAACTGAAATAAGCGAATAATTAAAGCTAATAAGAGTTAATTGGGTGCAATGGAAATGAACATACAACGTTACACTAGTTGCTGCCTACACCTATTAGATCTCATTACGAATTTTGTTTTATGGCAACCCATTAAACCTATTACGAAACGAGTAAAAATAGAAATTAAGTTTTATTAGAACAATCTATTTTATAGCTAAAAATGAAAAAGTGGAACCAAAAGAAAAATAATAAACAACGAACTTTACCAGAAAAAGATTGGTAGGTATAAGTTATTTTATGGTCATCTAGCCTCGTTATTTCTGTGACCGTGCTTCTGTCATTTCTATAGAAGTCACCATGAAGTACTATGATGAAGTTCCATTATTGTCATTTGTTCAAATTCCCGCCATCGCAAGTATTATCAAGAACGGTGACAGCAGTCGAGTCTAGATGAAAAATCCAGCGCCGGTGTACAATCATGTACATATACGATTCTTGATTTTGACTGTCATGAATTAGGGCTAATATTCAAAGATAATTTATTATTAAAATTGGTAATTTTTACGTCACTAAAGTTTCAGATAGTAACGTGTTGTTGTTACTATTAGTAAAAGGCAACGTAAAGCTCATATTTTTACAACTATTGCAGGATAGAGAATATTAATACAAATTCATTTAAAAAAAAGTCCAGTCCTTTCTTTGGCAAGGCTTGTGAATATGTTATATGCTGTAGTATGTTTATGATTAGTTACAGTTTTATTTAAAATATTCATATATTTTTATTGCTCTGTACCGCCATCGCGTTTGTCAATTTTCCCAAAGGTTGACTGGTAGAGAATGCAATTAGCATTAAATCCGCCTTTTGTACCATAAATAAATTAATTAATTAATTAATATTATTTGTTTTTATTCACATCTCCATTAGCTATGATAACATAAGTATTAATGACTCAATTTTGACCAACATAAAAAATACATAAATTATCTTGTACAATATTCTACAATAACTAATAATAATTTTTATTTTTGCACTTAGGGCAAATGGAATACAGTAGATTTCATTTCAGAAAAAAAGGATGTGTGAAATGTGAATAAAAATATATATACTGGCTAAATACTTTAAAAACATATTATCGTATGACGGGTAAACCACCAAATATAAATTTCAAATACATAGCAGAAAATGTTAAGGTTCTACCAATTTCTATGTTCCTTGAGTAAATTATTCTGAAAAAAATATATATATTTTATAAATATGTGTTTTCTCATAATCTATGGATAAAATTCTAATTTAGTATGTTTCAAAATTAAAAGTCCAGTAGTTTCGGAGATCAGTGAGTGAAGTTTCACTTATATTCTTAAATAACTTCTATATTATTTATATTCCAATAACAAAAGCTAAATATTCGATATGATGCACAACATAGTTTTTGTTTTGCCACAAATAGTGGTCTCTATGTTTGTTTACAATTCTTTAAATTGCACGACCACCTTTCAATCTCCAACTTGTGTGATAGGTTACGTTTTCTACCTTTTTAATTAGGAACCCTAAAAACGAATATGTATCATAGATACATAAAACTTAGGTATATGTCCTTAGGTTCATAACATAAATCATAAGAATATATCCAAAGAACCACGAAACATAAATAATCTGGATCACAAATTCTACTACATTTCCACGATTTTGTAGCTAATTAAAAAAAACTACTTGACTCGCAAAAATATATCAAAGTACCTTTAGAACAAAAGTGAAATTTTATATGTACTTACCCGTAATTTCATAGATATAACGTTGTTTATGTATATGAAATTATTTAATTGCACAGTCAGTTTTTCGGCAAAATGTCAACACTGCACCGGTTTACACGATTCACACACTACCTACTCATACAATCCAATCACCCACATGCACGATCAAAGACGAACTGTACGCTGGCTCCATTCATGTCCCGAGACTCACTGAAACACGCGAGCTCCTAAATACGCGCCCGCAGAAGCCGGCTGCACCAATCTGTTGTCTTCGACACATAAACAAACCGAATAGGATGAACCTAGCCACGCGCTGAACGATCTTGTAACAAACTACATTCTGACCTAACATTCCAACGTCAAATTCATATTTTAAACAAAAAAACTACAAGTTCATTGAACTTCTGACATGATAGCGAGATTTAATCCGAAATAAAAGCACGTAAGTGATACAAAACCAAGTGTAACAGGCTCGAGAGTAACGCTAGTGCGACGTACCGGCTTCCGCGGCTGCGCCGTAGGAACCACGACGTGTCCTCGATCAACGGGCTAATTTGGACATTGTGCCCTTCCCATAGAGTTTAATAAAACGAGACAATATCACTCGAACGAGACTGCAGCTTATCAAATACGCGTTAAGTAACCTTAGACTCTCTTTGTTTATGTTTTGGTGCATATTTCGTTGTCAGTTGCAACCATAAAAAGTGCTGCAGGCAACGCATCACGTGCGTTCACGGAGGGTGGATGATTGCAGTTTTGTGAACTCTCGACCCCTCGTTTGTCGCTTAGGGTTTCAAAGTAATGCTTATTCGACGTATGAGGAAGAGGATCGAAATTATTTCCGTTTCATATTGTTTGAATGACTTTGAAACTTAGTTAATATATAGGTACAGAAGACTATCACACCCAACACTCGGATGGGTTCACAATTACACTATAAATATAATAATAGTAAGCAATGTGGGAATCATTTAGTTATTACTGCAGTGATTCTATATCTGTAAAATGTCAATAGTGTTCACATGATGCTAATAGCACTAATAGACACTGTACATACTTTACAAATTCCACAGTATTCCTCGACGTGTAAGTAAATTCCAATGTCTACGAGTCATATTAAGATAAAATTTTCTTTCTACCGAACCGAAGGAAGTAAATTGTACTTCCGAAAATGAAATCTAAAGGTAGGTACTTTCGTACATATACCAGTCTTAAAGCCATTAGTATAGCTACGAAAAAATCAGTCTAGAACCTTCCCTTTATATCCTAGAACATTACTTATACCTATTATTGTTATTATTAGGGTTTTGGATTTGTCTTTAAGATGGCGCATATTATCTTTTAATTGGTTTTGTACACTGCTGCACATCTGGTTAATACAATATGTAACATTTCTATAATGGATTTTGACCCCTGTCGTCAATTTATTTAAGTTTAAAATCGAGTGGAGATTTTTTTATTTAGTCTGACGTACAATCGACTATACCAAGAAATAACATCCGAACAAGCTGTTATTGAAACTGAGAAACTAAATCACATGGGTATTTATAAGGGTTTTTCCAGTTAAAACGTGGATTTCATTCATACCAACCTTTTTATATAAAATAAAATTTAATAAACATGTAGCCGATGACTACATGTAACACTTTTACAATACCCACAACAAGGCCTTAACATGATTCACAAAATATCGTATCCAAAGAAAAAAACATTCCAGTACCTACGACTTCTACTAACAGAGCGCGGGCTATCGCTATACGATGTTATAGTGCTATTTCAATTCATTTTACTACTTTGACATGTACTTTAATAACGACGAACGAACGAATAATTAATATGGCTTAGATAGCAGTGTTGCCAACTTAGTTAATATGGCTTAGATAGCAGTTTTGCCATTTAGTCATTTATTTTTCTAAAAGACGTCATAATATTCGCTAATACGTGGCTAGTGTTATGGCTAGTTAGGTGGTCGCATCCTTGACGATTGTAAGACGGGTCTTAAAAAACCTACACGGGCACCAGTTTCCCACGTGTTTTACGTACGTATATTTATATTGTGTAATTGTGGTGAAAACGCACGTTCCTAAACTAGGGGTAATTACCCCGTGGGAGTAAATCAGCTATTATGTGGGGTAACAAAGAGCCTAATATTTAGGAAATATAATAAAAGAACAAACAAAAACATTACACTGTGAACGTGTTGTAAGTGAAACTAAACCTACCCTCAAAAAAAGCAACGATAACAACCATTACTTATTAATAATGATATCTGTTTTTATTTCCAATGTTTGTATTACAAACTTTTAAGATTTGGGTAAAATCAGTTTTATTAATAGTTCATAGGACTAAGTAACAATAAGTTAAGGTTACGAACCACTTGATTAGATGAAATAAAAAAACTTTTAATAATAATTTGACTTTAATAATCACACACAAAACATTCAATAGTATAAATATTTGTTTGCAAATTGACTTATAGTAAAAATTCACCATCATAATTATGCAATAGTTTGGTCAAGGAACTTTTAAGTAAATAATACTGTAATCATATCTGTTAATATTAAGCATTCAATGTATACGTAATTATCAAAAGTTTATTTGTATATTATAGAGCCTAAACGAAAAAGTATCTGAAGACATGGCACATATTGATATGGGATATTTTTGTACATAAGACTTAACTATATATAATATAGAATCTATTAAAGTTTTAAAACTCGAAAAAATTCAACAGTTCTTATTTTAACTTTGAATACGTTATACTTTAAGAAATTACAATTAAAATATGGCAAATTTTACATTTGTTTTGTCTGTTCATGTTGACGTGTATTAACTTTAATAATTTCATGAAATATAGTTATTTTGCTTACGAATAAGAATAAATATGTCAAACCACTTCACAATAGAAAAGTAATACAATAGTTCTGTCAAAACAAGCCTTATAAATACTTATTTAAATGCTATTTATGCAAAATTTCGCTGCAATTAAACTTAGTTTACAAACAGTACAATTCAACAATAACAATATATTATACAATTTAGTAGGCCAACAAGACATTTAATTTAGAAATAAAATGAAGAATAAATATCTACTTAAACACTTTTTTGTTTTTACTTAAAATAATAATAGTCTTTTCGTAAATAAGAATAGTTTTAAAAATTATTCAAAAACGCGGTATGCATTACCAATTACGACCATACCGCATACGGAATAAGGCGCATTCAAGGCGTCAAAACTGACCGACCACTAACGCTAATGCATTATGTGCGAAATGTTACAGTATAAAATAAATTAAAACAAGTACATTGGAGTATAATATTAAAACAGCACGTTTTAATACGAAGAATGTCATGAAGTCTGGTAATTACTAAAAGTTAACATTGACGAAACATTTATAATACTTCACAACATCTTTTGTCGTAAATATTTCACCAGAGCAAACACATGTCATACATACAAATAAATAAAAAGGGAATCAACAAAAAAAAAACTGAGATTTTATGAGTAAATTTTGAATGGATATAAAAAATTCTGGTTACATAAAAAGAGTGAAATGGAAAGAATAACTATTCTTAATGAACAATACTTAAATCCACTTTGTCCCTGGTACTGTTACATACTCGTACATTCGTTATTTCAGTTTTCAGATCTCAAGTTGCTATCACACTTCCCACAAAACATACAATAAACAGAGTATCTACCCTTGAGCCAGAGGCCATGCTAGTTAAAAGAGACTGTGTACATACATATCTTTCTATGATCTTTGTTTATTACCATCTGATAATAATGATAATGTGAAAATTATTTTCTTAGCCCACACACGCACCGCTGGATTATAGTTTACTTACAAGTATTTGCTGTTTTGCTTTACTTGTTTGAGGCAGCAAAGCTGTGGCATAAGTCCCAAAACATCAAACCTCAAAACATGCCACTAGTAATACGCATGTCACACTCCGACGATAAGGTAGAGGCTATGTATGAGGAGATTTCTGAAGCCATACATACGACTAATACCTACTTCACCGTTGTAATGGGGGACTTTAACGCGAAGCTGGGTGCTTCGAACGGCGATGAGTTGAGGGTGGGTCGATTTGGGTATGGGCGGCGCAACCACCGGAGCCAGAAGCTGGTCGATTTCATGGAGAAGGAGGGACTCTTTGCGATGAACTCCTTCTTCCAGAAGAGACCCTCCAGGAAGTGGACCTGGATGAGCCCTGATGGTTCGACAAAAAATGAGATCGACTTCATCATGACAACTAGAAAGCACATATTCAATGATGTCTCCGTGATCAGCAGGGTGAAAACCGGTAGCGATCACCGAATCGTTAGAGGCACATTGAATATCAATGTTAAGCTCGAAAGGTCACGTCTGATGAAGTCTACGCTCCGTCCTAGTGCTGCTCATATCGTGGACCCCGAAGCCTTCCAACTCCAACTACACGATCCCTTTCAGTGTCTAGCTGAATGCGAGTCTGTGGACGAAATAAACAACGGGTTTGTAGAAACAATCCAAGCTGTGGGGTCTAAGTTCTATAAAGCCCCGCGCCGTATAAAATCTCAAAAGCTCTCAGACGAAACGCTCAAGTTGATGGCGGACCGGAGGGATATGAGACTGCAACCTTCAACCGATATGTCGGAATATGGTCGACTTAACAGACGAATTTCCAAATCGATGTGACGCGATCTGCGCTCCTATAATACTACACGAATTAGGGTGGCAATAGAGCGGAACCAAGGCTCCAAAGTGTTTGCAAGAAATTTGTCTGCTGGGTCGTGTCAGATGACGCCACTTTGGTTAGCGTTTGTGGACCATGAGAAAGCCTTCGATTCAATCGAAACCTGGGCAGTACTGCATTCCCTCCAGCGATGCCAAATCGACTACAGGTACGTCGAAGTGTTGAAGCGTTTGTATAGCAACACCACAATGTCGATTCGCTACCAGGAAGAAAGCACGAAACCAATCCAATTGCGCAGAGGCGTGAGACAGGGAGATGTCATTTCTCCGAAACTGTTCACGAATGCATTGGAGGACGTCTTCAAGCTCGAATACGGCATCAACATCAATGGCGAATACATCACTCACCTTCATTTCGCCGATGATATAGTCATCTTGGCAAGATCGATGGAGCACATCAGTACAATGCTCAGCGACCTGAGTATCGTTTCCAAACAGGTGGGTCTTAAAATGAACATGAACAAGACGAAAATTATGTCGAATGTCCATGTTGCACCCGTACCGGTGGTCATTGAAACTGATAATCTCGAAGTTGTCGATCACTACTCGTACCTTGGACAGACGATCCAGTTAGGTAGATCCAATTTCGACAAAGAGGTCGCTCGAAGAATCCAACTCGGCTGGGCAGCGTTCGGGAAGCTACGCGATATCTTCACGTCCAAAATACCACAATGCCTAAAGACGAAGGTATATAAACAGTGTGTGTTGCCAGTGATAACCTATGGCACTGAAACGTGGTTCTTAACTGCTGGCCTCTTAGAGAAGCTCAGAGTCGCTCAGCGAGGCATGGAGAAAGCTATGTTAGGGGTTTCTTTGCGCGATAGGATCCGAAACCGACATAGCTCGCAAAGTTTGTAAGCTGAAGTGGCAGTGGTCAGGCCACATCGCTCGACGAACCGATAACCGATGGGGACGGAAGGTTCTCGAGTGGAGACCACGAACCGGAAGACGCAGCGTGGGTCGACCCCCGACTAGATGGACGGACGACATCGTCCGAGTCGCGGGCGGCCGCTGGATGCAGCTGGCGCAATGTCGTCCGTCGTGGCGTTCAAAGGGGGAGGTTCAGCAGTGGACGTCTTCCGGCTGATGATGAATACCCATGTGCGTGTGTAACGAACTAGCATCAGAACTACATACATAATCACAAATTATATAACTACTTTCACGTAAATTCACATGAAAAACATCTGCAACTTTCAGTTCCTTAGAATATAAAGATAAAACTTAAAAAAGAAATGACTAGATATAACACTAAGCGTAAGGAAGATTTAACGCTTGTAAATAATTCAGTCTTCGAAATGACGTCGACTACGGGTGCGACCGTTTAACTCTTGATGATGTTATGGTAATATATAGTTTCATATTACTAGTTTTACATGTACTTTGATAAGAATGAATAAATGATGATAATGGATTTTAAAAGAAAGTGGAATTAGGCAGTTGCACCCTACGCCTTAAGTAAAAAATTTTGGTTCCGAAATCTTATCATAATTAGTAAATACTTTCGAAAATCGATTCAAGTTTTAAAATACAAGTCATAATAAATAAGAAAAACTACCACTTTTTATAAAGAGTTGTAGAAGAGTAAAGCTGGTAGGTATGTATAATCATGAATCACAGATAGCAAGAATACATTATTCAACAGGAGCAAAGTTTATGATCTTGCTTTGCTTGTAATCTCTGCAGAGATTGCCGACGTCGTCCTGATGCACAAAGCATTGCATATTCAACAGATGTCTCCATTCTGTAATTTGAAACATATAATTTATAGCAATTTTTATACTGACCAATATAATTTCACCTTGCTGCCCATGTTTTGATTGGTTTGTGTTTTAATTTTTGATTATGATGTTATTTGATATGAAAATAGTAGGAGATAGTAATCATTGAATTAATATGTAAAGCAAAAACTGGAAGGAGTATGAAATTTATCATACTCAAAGTTAGTTATAAGCAGCAGTTACAGATATAATTTTAAATTTAGCACATTCATTAAAGCTTAAAGTCATCATGAAATCTAAATGGATATTTGTGCAACTATTACAAAATATAGAAGCTTCACATATTATACCTGTACATGACTTTGTCTAGAAGAATTTCAATAGCTCGGTCAATGTTCTGCCCAGTCTTGGCACTGGTCTCCAAATAGGGTAAATTGTAGTTCTTAGCAAATTCCCGAGCACGGTTCTGATTGACAAGCCTCTTTTCTTGAAGATCACATTTATGGCCACAGAGAACTATATCAGGGTCATCACTTAAGCTGTGAGTCTGAAAAATATTGTCACAACATAATTACCACATATATTCTACAATGAACAAATTAATGATACAAGCTTAGGCAATCTGCAAAAACATTAGAAAAAAATCTTTAAAAACTTACTGATCTTGAATGAAGTCTACTAAAATTAAGCATGAAGCAATGGCATTAATGATGTATGAGCACTTCTGTACTTCACAAAATGATTATTTTGTATAAGTCACAAGTATTTACATGATGTCTGAGGGCCTATTCTCTTTTTCTTCAAATGAATATCTCAGTGATTTTTATAATTGCATTTATATTGACATCCAATAAGATCTGTATATCAGAGGCAGCATAAATGATCAAAAAATGTATTTCTTTGGAATCATAGTAGCGCTTTGAAAATAGAAAACAAAATATTTATGGAAAAAAAGAATAAACCTTCAGGTTTCATGTTAATTTATATGAGTAGTAGTAGTTTATATGAGTTATTTTTGGTTATCTATGAAAATTATCATAAATCTATTTATGATGTTTGAATGGATTTGAACCATAAATATGTACCTTTGTTATTTTAGATCATACATATTTTATGGTAAAAGCTGCAATTATACCTATATCTTACCTTTAGTTGCTCAATCCAATTTCTCACTTCAAGGAATGAAGCTTCATTTGTCAAATCAAACAATAGAAGAAAGCCCATTGCATCACGATAAAAAGCTGTTGTCAAACTTCTAAATCTAGAATATAACATTTTTTTTTTTCAATATATATGATTTCAATGCACTCTATCTATGGATAAAATGATGAAGGATTATATGAGCTTGTTGATTTATACAAAATTAAAATTTTGGAATCTCCAAAGCAGTAACTATTTTTTTGTTACTATAGATTTAGATATAAGATTGATATAGAATGACCATACCGTTCTTGTCCTGCAGTATCCCATAGTTGCAAGTGAATACGATGTTGTCTCCCATTTTGCTGATAAATCTAGAATAATGGTTGAAGCCTTAAATAAAGGGCAGGTTGTATGTATTTCGGTATTTCGTAAATATCAAACATAAGCTCACCACTGTTTTTTCTCTAAAGTCTATACCAACAGTCGAAATAAACTGAGTATGAAAAACTCCATCGGTATATTTATAAAGGAAGCTCGTTTTTCCAACACCAGAATCCCCAACACATAACAACTTAATCAGATAATCGTAGTCCATCGCTCTTGATGAGATACTAAGTTCTAAAGAACATGAAATTGATTTTATTACTAATAATATATAGCATTAGCTAGAGATCACCAAGGAAGCAGCTAAGAAAATGTTATAAAATAGAGCTTATAATCTTTCCTAATGTACTCTGTGTTATAATCTTATTATTATTACTGTTCTCTCTGATTTTCATTTATTTTTAATTACAAAAAGAAGTATATATTTTTTTTCTTTTGAGGCAAAGATTTGATGACCATGCAGCCTTGTCCTTAGTATTGAAGTATTCTAATTTATTAATAAAGCATGTCTTATTGCTTTCAAGTATTTAAATATATGTGCATTGCTTGAATGGAGCGCGGAACTTTGTCAGGTGATTTGTATATTACTAAAAGTTTATCCAAAAAGATGTTTCGTTCTAAATTAAATCCTGGGCATTCTAATATTAAGTGATCCAAGTTTTGATCTTCAAAATGACAGTTTTAATCTTGTTTAACAACCTCGGCTTTATTATCTTTTTCACTAGGAATGCAACGATATATTGAACGAAATACCGATATATATCGACATGCCCAAAAATATCAAAATATATTGAAGAATATATCCAAGCAACAGTAAAATCAATACATCGATATACACGTCGCGACGAATAGTATCGCCAACGGAAACAAAACAAAGCTATCTTTTCCTTCAACGCTGAACGAAGTAGTTTACCCCTACTCCAATAAAATTAATTAGATTAACTGATTGTGATAGGATCTATATGCGGCAATACAAATTGTCTTAATTCTTGGTGTGCGAGCCGTGGATCACGAGACACGGCGCATGAGTCCGTGCGGCCGTATATCATAATAATAATAATCACTTTATTTCTGTCACTATAGCTACAAACGATCTTCTAACCTGTACTCGGGATTCTGCCCTCGCGAGTGTTAGTTGTTACACGTGCTCAAGGGATTTCTTTATTTATTAGTGATTTATAGACTTTCTGCGTGGTTGTACGGAATTAAGTGTTTGTCTTTTCTGTGTTCTGTTCTGTGTACTAATAACAGGTATAGGTAAGTACCTATTTATGTTCTCCTGTCCTTTCCACTGATTACAAAGTAATCAATGGAAAGGACTCCTCCCGATCCTCCGGATCCTCCGGACCGGCCCAACACACCACTTTCAAACATGGAGTTTTCACCCCCATTATTCTCACAAACAGGAGTTAAGCGACGTAATGAGACTGAACCTGAGGTAATCAACTCACCTACTAAAAGAATAAACACCGAAATTAATCAGTCTGACACGTCGATTACCTCTCCCGGACTATACATTCATCCATCAGTAAGTCAAGGCTGCAAACGATACATAGATAGCGATAAAGGACCATTCATAGTTCATGTTTCAAAAATCGAGACTGATCCTTCATCAGGTATATCAATACATCCTATTAAATTTGGTCAATTTCTTGTTAAAAATAAGATTAAAAATATAGTCTGTGATGGTATTAAGAAAGTTGGACGTAATAGAATTGCAGTTGAATTTAAGACAAATATAGATGCAAATAATTTTTTAAATAACCCTTTCTTAACACTCCATAAATATACTGCACAGATCCCTAACTACAATATTACCCGTATGGGTATTGTCAAAGGTGTTCCTTCTGACCTCACAATGGAAGAGCTGGTAGATTCCCTAGTAATCCCTGATAGTTGTGGTTTAATTTTGAAGGCAAGACGGCTTAACAGAAAGACCATATTAGAAGGCAAAGTTACCTGGCTCCCAACTCAGACAGTAGTCCTTACGTTTCAAGGACAGGTCTTACCTAACAGAGTTTTTGTTTATCATACATCCTTGCCTGTTGAAACATACCAGCTCCCTACTATACAGTGTCTTAATTGCTGTAGGTTTGGACACATTAAAACACAATGCCGCTCAAAACCGCGCTGCTTCCGCTGTGCGCAACCACATACTGGTGCATCCTGTGTTGTTGAGGAATCTAAAGCTACCTGCCTTTTTTGCTCGGGTTATCATTTTGCTACAAATAGGAGTTGTCTGGAACATTCTCGACAACAATCAATTAAAAAACTTATGTCTCAGGATAACATATCATATCAGGAAGCCTCCCAAAGATTTCCTGCGGTTAAGAGGTCCTATGCTGAAATTGCTCAATCTTCACCGTCTACTCAGCACACATATGCTCCACAATCTCCAATATCTTCACCCAAGACCCCAGCAGGTATAATATCATATAAAAAAACTGTAGTGCAACCTCATAAACCTAGGACTATATTGAACTCTGGGTATGATAGTCATATGGCTCATCAGGCCATCATTCAAAACTCCCCCTCCTCCCTTCCAAATGGATGTGCTCTGAGCAATGAATGCCTACCAGAGTCCACAGATACTACTCCTAACGACAACTTATTAGAAACCCTTCTGACCTTCGTTTTTAGTCTTCTTAATAGATTTGATGACATCCCTGTACCGTCCAACTTGCTCAAAAAATAAACCAACTTAATAAATTTATTTGTATCAATAAAAATGGCGAAGATAATACAATGGAACTGTAGTAGCATTTCTAGTAAAACTGCTGAATTACAATACATAATAAACAAATTTTCTCCTTCTATCCTTGCTGTGTCGGAGACATGGTTGGTTCCGGGTACAGTCTATGGCTTACCTGGGTACTCCTGTCTCCGGGATGACAGGGGAGATGGCTATGGAGGGAGCGCACTGTTTATCAGTTACTCCCTACTCTTCAATAAAATTGACCTCCCACCCCTCAGTGACTGCATTAATGCAGTAGCTGTGAAAGTTGTAAATACCACCTACCTTTCTGTGTATATACGTCCCAAATCGCCACCTAATATTGTTATAGAAGAACTGAAATCTATTATCATGTCTCTCTCGCCTCCTCTAATATTAATGGGCGATTTTAATGCACATCATGTGATATGGGGTTCTGCTACAAATGACTCACTTGGTGTCCAAATAATTAACCTATTAGATGAGAGAGACCTTTGTTTAATGAACGACGGTAGTCCCACCAGAAGAACCCGTCCTGATCAAAACCCATCGGCAGTAGACATCACAATATGCACTCCCACACTGGCATCAAATATTTCTTGGAATACACTCCAAAGTACACATGGCAGTGACCATTTCCCTATTTTAATTTCAACCTTAGATAGTCCGCCTTCCATCAACCGCCCCCCTCCTTTACTTCAATTCCGACTGCAAAAAGCAAACTGGGCAGCCTATTTTAGGACACTGGAAGGTAATGCTGACACTCTCCCTGTGGTAACAATAGATAATGCTGACATAGCTTACGAAGCATTGGTCGAGTCTTTAATGGAAGCAGCAAATGTGAATTTTCCAAAAAAAAACTGTACACGGAAAAAACTATCACCCCGCTGGTGGGATTCGGAATGTACAGAAGCAATAAAAATGAGGAAAAATGCTGAAAAAAATTATAGGAATTCCATGACCATGGATAACTTTGTATCCTATCAAAGAATAGCTGCTCAAACTAAAAAGCTTCTAAAGATAAAGAAAAGGACGGGTTGGAATAGGTTCTGTGAAACATTGGCCCCGGGTACCCCCTCAACCATTGTGTGGAAACAGCTTCAAAAGTTTCGCAGATCACGTAATCGCTCCAATTTAACACATAATGATTCTTCAACGTGGATAGAAGCATTTGCTGACAAACTGGCTCCCCCATCAGTCCCAAATATTGATTGCCTACATATCAACACCAGTGTGATACTACCTTCCACAGTAACGCTAGATGGATTATTCTCGATCGAAGAGCTCCAAAAAGCACTTTCTGGCTTAAAGGACAGTTCTCCGGGCTTAGACGGGATTCCATACTCCTTTTTAGTTAGAGCTCCAGATAACATAAAATTATACTACCTAAAGTTAATTAACACCTTTTACGATAATGGTATCATCCCCGATCATTGGACTAAGCAAATAGTTATACCTATTTTAAAACCAGGCAAAAATCCATCTGAACACTCCTCTTATCGGCCTATAGCTCTCTCGTCTGTCCTACTAAAAATCGTCGAACATATGATGAAAAACCGTCTCGAATGGATTGTAGAAAGTCGCGACATGCTTGCCAAATCTCAATTCGGATTTAGAAAAGGTTTCAGTACAATAGATAATCTCAGCATCCTTACGACAGATATCCGCCTTTCGTTTGAGGGAAAAGAACAATTGGTAGGGGTATTTCTGGGCATATCGTCCGCATATGATAATGTTCTTATTCCGGTGCTCAGGCAGAAAATGCAACAGCTGAACATTCCAGGGAAATTGGTCCATTTCATATGCAATTTAATATCATCCAGATCCATCTTAATAAGGTCATAAGGTTACTCTCTAGCTAGGGTGGTGTGGAAAGGCCTACCACAAGGATCAGTTCTTAGCCCAATGCTTTATAACATATATACTTATGATATGGAACTCTCAGTGAACTCCTTCTGTCAGATTCTACAATACGCAGATGATGTAGCCCTTTATGTCCGAACGAAATCCATATCGGAAGCTTCATCACGACTAAACTCCGCTTTGTCCTATCTTGGCGACTGGTTGACGGACCATGGACTATCGATTTCCACATCAAAATCTAGTGCGGTAATCTTTACCAAAAAGCGAAACGTCCCTGTCCCGAACATTAAACTTCAGGATGTTCCCATTGTGATCAAACCCTCAGTTAAATTCCTAGGAATGATTCTGGACTCCAAATTAACGGGTACTGACCATTTTAATAATGTAGCAAACAAAACAGAAAAGAGCGTAAACATTTTGCGAGCGTTGTCTGGTGTTTGGTGGGGCGCTCATCCGGAAACTCAAAAAATATTGTATAACGCTATTGTGCGTAGCCATTTCGATTATGGTTCATTCCTCCTCGACCCCTGTAATAAAACAACATTGGATAAAATAAATAAAATACAATCAAAGTGCCTTAGAATCATACTAGGAGCAATGAAATCCTCACCCATCAATGCCTTACAAATAGAAGGTGCTGACCCCCCTCTTTTCCTCCGTAGACAATTTCTCAGCGACAGATTTTTCTTGAAGGTTCTACAAAATAAAAATCACCCGTTGTTACCTATACTATACAAAACATATCATATATCCAACACTAATATTAACGTTAATCGTCGCCAAAATGTCCCTTGTATAATTACTAGTTATTTAAAATTTAGCCGTCCTTCAATAACCATCGGGAAATTTCCGTGTAATCCCTTATATTTAAATAGTTTCGAATCCTTAATTTTCGACCCGCCCATTTTACCTAGTTTAGACATTGCAAAAAAGTCTCCCGGTGCTAACCAAGCCTTCAATAAATTATTGCTGAAAATTGGCCACAGTGGCTCCTTATATTTACAGACGCATCAAAGCTCTCAGATAATAGCTGGGTCGGAGCTGCAGCATGGATACCCAAATTTAAAATAGTTCTAAGTTTTAAAATCCCACCACCATCGTCCGTATTCACAGGAGAGGCAATTGCAATACTGGAAGCCATCTTATACTGTGAATCACATAATCTAAACCAAACGATGATCCTATCCGACTCTCTTAGTTGTCTTCAGGCAATATCATCCAATCCTTTCCGGTCCAAATCCA